GTTGAAGTGGGTTTTGAAGGAGATGGGTTTTGAAGGTTGATTCTGCAGATTAAACCTCAAAAAGGAGATGGGTTTTGAAGTGGAAGGGGATGGTAAATTTGGAGTCTTTATTGGCGGTGGTGCCGGATATGGTTTTGATGTTGCCGGGGCTAGAGGTGGTGCCGGCGACGCTACGGTTTTGAGAAGATGGCAGGATGATTTTTGGTTTGGATGTGTAGGTGGGTGGGGGTAGGATAGGGTAGCGTAGGGTGAAGATGGAGATGAATATTATTCTTTTTTTATTATTTTGGTTTAGTTATATTTTAATAGTTTTATGGAATTAAATTGTCAAGTTACAATTATGCCCCTTCTAGTTTGATAAAAATTGGTCAAAGTTTACTATTCTGGGTCAACTAACGGTCAAACGGACGGAAACCGTCCATTTGGACCTCCAGTGCATATTTTTGAAAGGTTTGGGACCTCCGTTGGCACAAATCAAAGGTTAGGGTAAAATGCGCAAAAATTTGAAAGGTTTGGGACCTTTGCTGCAATTATCCCTTCATTTTTATCAAAAATTTGTTAAAAATCAGATTTTTAACAAAATCAAACAGGAGCTTAATGTGTTTCTGTTCATAATCCTGCGAAGTTCAGTAAGCTATTAGTCAAACCTGGAGGAAATAGATTGGAGGACTATTATATAGAAGACAGTTTTCTTTTTCTTTTTATTTATTTATTTTAGTTCTTTTTGGCAAAGGTAGAATTGTATCCTATCTCTTGAAATTCTGGGTCGTATGGACCTGAGCTTAGCATTCGAATGTTGTGTTCGCTTCTTGGTGTAGAATATTGTGCCTGGCCTTATTGACTCAGGTTACTTCTCTTATGCCATGTTGACTTTTGTGTGTAGCTGAATCTTAGCATCCTAGTCTAGTTGTCTACCCTTAGGGTGTCAGTGTGCAGTGAAGGGCCACCTTTTTTTTTGTCCATATGTCGCCCCGTGTAGCAATTTGGGGCAAGAAAACTAGAGCAACTAAGGCCTGTTTGGTACACATTATTTTTTTTAATTCTCATTTTTTTACTCATTTTCAACTACACATTTTTCAATAAAATAATATTTTCCATCACATCAATAACTTTTCCTTCATTTTTAACCACATATTCTCCATTAATTTACTATTCAATTATACATTCTTTCAAAAGAATGTGTCCCAAACACACTCTAAATATCATGGCTTGAGCTGGAATCTTCTAGATCAGCAACTATTGTGGTCGATCTAGTTGGTTATTACTTCATTCGATCATTACTAATTATGCTTCCTTAGTTTTCCGTGGTCATTTTTGCCTCCAAGGATCTGCCACGCCATGTAGGTGGCCGATAGGTTTACATAAGTCAAAATTCCTTTGTGGCATACCTTGGAACACAGCCCTGTGTTATACAAGGACCAAATAACTATTTCATTTTAGAGAGCATAAAAATGAAAATATGTTAATGTTTATATATGCAAATGTACCAAATTAATAGAATTTTCATAAACCGATTACTTTTATTTTCTCCAACAGTATATTAAGTTCATGCTTGTCTCCATTTAAAACAAAATTTTTTAATTTTCATGCTCATTTTCAACCATATATTCACGTAATAGAATATTTTGCACGTAAATTTAAAACTTTTCCTACTTTTTAATCGCACATTTTTTGAAAAACCACTATTCAAAATTTCAAAACATTATTTTTCTCATGACATCAAACAGGGGCTAAATGACCAACTCTAGTAAAATTTCAAATTTAAGTCTTATTTATTTATTACTAATTTCACGCTAAAAGTACTTTTTAACTAACACTAGAGTGTTCTAACATTTTTTCCATCACCATCATATGTATTTTTGTTACCGAATTAGATTTTCCGACTCAACCGCGTCTTAAACTTTTGCGTTTGATTAAACTGGTAACCTTTCTGTATCTTTATTTCTACCATTCAGCTACAGATTGTCATATTGCAAACACATTTAGGAATTAGGATGGATGTCGATAATTATATTTCCTCAAATTTGGCCCACCAATTACCACATCTAATATTATACCACTGTTGCATGTTTGAAAGTAAAATACCACC